GTTCCTGTGACAGAATGCTTAACATTTAGGCCTAAGGTGTTTCAATGTCTGCACCGCCATACTTCAGGATCTCTCTTAGGGCTTCCTTCGATCTTTTTGGTCAACATCTTGGGCGCGTTGAAATCTTGCTCCTGTGATCTCCTGTGTGTGTCCTGCTCAGATAGACATCCTTCCAGCAAGGATCCTATTGCCAGTAGTTTGGGTCTGCACTAAGCATTGTCGTTTCCCAAACTCCCAGTTGACGTAGCGGTTTGGTTGCGGAGATCCCAAAAACAAACACACACACACACACACGCACAGACGGTATACATTTTTTCCGACGAAGCCTAACACACACTCACAAGGCCCTAGTATGAAGCCTACCCCATGCGAGTATAGTTGACTACACCCGAGACTCCATTTCAAGCCCTGAAACCAGAATCAACATTGCAAGTGAACAGCTGAGGGAAAAAAACTCAGGACATACGGAAGTTCGGGGATTTTGGCTTGAGGGATTTAGATACAGGCTTAGGGTGTAAGGCTTCTCGGAGGCTCTAAGCTTCAGGGTCAACGGTTCGCGGATGCCCAGGGTGCACGAGCACAGACTTGGCAGGCTCTCAATGCTGTCGGAAGGCGCAGTACTGTGCTCCGGGCCGCACAGTGCTGCTGGTACAGGTCCGTGTAGTAGACCGTTTCCTTTCGAGGCTTTCGACTTCAAGTTGTGTTTCAAGGGCTCGCTTCCAGCTGGAGAGTCCGGCGGTTCAGGATGTAACTTCCAGGTCTGCGGGCCAGGAAGTGCAAGACTCTTGAGGCTGGTTTGCCTCTCATATTATCTAATCCTTTCGAGTGTAGAAGGGGAAATCTTCCGACGGTGTCCCTCCAATGCTCCAGGGATGAGTGCAGAACTTAATGCTCAAGAGCCTCTTGAAACCGCAGCATTGATGAGTGGCCACAAAATCGCCGCGGTTGAGAGTTTGGGCTTCGAGATTTCACGTCACCGGCGCTGTAGGGTTTCGCATTATGAATGTTCTGAAATCAGAGTTGGGGGGTTCACATGGTTGGGGTGGTTGGGGTCTAGCCAGTGTCTACGAGGCTATAACTTAGATATAGGCTGTGTCTGCACAAACTTCCCTGTACGCAGACCTCGGTCAGAGAATCTGCCACATGCCCTGCGGTTTGCTTGTCTTCAGCCTTTAGGAATAGGGTTGTTCCCTCGTGCCCCTGCGCGGGTATCTGTGACACTACGGGCGCCTTACTGCCTTGTCTAGAAGAGGCCCCCGCGTCAGACTTGCAATTGGGGCGCATGTGTGTCGTGGTGATATTGAAGCTGAACACCGAAGAACAGCTCTGCTTCCTCCAACTCCTCATCTCAGGGCAATGAATTCGGGGTGTAGGTTCGAAGACTTCTGGCTTCTGGCCTAAGCCGTCAACTCTAAAGCTCAACATGTGGGCTTTAACGTGCAGGCTTGCACCTAGGCCTTTCAAGAACCCTCAAACACTTAACCCGCCAATTCGTCAGGGTTAAACTGCCATGTTAAACTTTGACCCCGGTATCTGCAAGCACAGAACCAGAAACCTACACTTGGGTTTTCAGGTTCAGGAAGTTTCGGGGTGGTTGTTGGCTTATTCGCAGGGATAACCAAAGAGAGTAGGGCAAGTTTCGATGGTTCTAGACGCTGAGGCCTACCGAACACTACGGCCCGAAACTTGAAAGGCCGACGTCCGGTTTAGGGTTTAGGGTTTAGGGTTTAGGGTTTAGGGTTTAGGGGTGGCACCTACGTAGTTCGCCTCCAAGCCGCATCGTTTCGTTCGGAGCAGCCCAGACTTCCGGGCTTCGCGGCTAGATTCTGGTGGCCCTGGTAGTCTTGGGCTGGGAGGGGAACCGCAAGCCCTAAACCCGAAACCCTGAAGTCCCAAAGCCCGAAACCCTTAAAGTCCCAAAACCCGAAACGCTAAAGTCCCAAAACCCGACACCCTAAGGCCAACACCGAAGCTGAAAAGACAACAAAACAACTCTCTCGAGGCTCGGAGGTGCAGGAACTGTACTGCTGGCAGGACCACGAGCTGGCTGGCACGTAGGGGAGCACCGGGAAGCCTGGGGAGATAGTCGGGTTGTAGGGTTTAGGGTTTTAGGGCTGCGGGCTCTGACATTTTTGAGGGCTTCGCAGGCGTAGGAATTAGGATTTCGGGAGTATCTTGAAGTATCTTGAGAGGTAACGCCCTTCACCTCGAAGTTTCGAGAAGTTGGTTGTGCTGGACGGCTGGAAGGGTATATGAAGTGGGATGCTTTTCTTCTTGGCATCCAACATAGAGACTCCTGAAGCCCTTTGCACGCACTCAGCCCAAGCCCGACTGGAAGCCCCTTTAGCCCCGGGGTCCCTTTCTGGATGTCCTTGTTGCAAGGGGTCCTGGCTTTGTAACGTAAAGGGCTGGATCCAGGTCTCTTCTATACCCTAAACCCGATATCAGAAACCCTATATCCTAAAACCGGATACCCTTCAGTCCGTATATAATTCACCTGAAACCTATACCCTCACACCCAGAAACCATCGAAGACGTGATCCTAAGCCCAAAACAAAACGCCGACACAAGCACCTCTGCCGTCCACCAGAATGGACATAGGGCTGGTGATGATGTTGTGGGTATCTGTGAAGACCACGTACCTCCGTTGCTGGGCTCTGGGGGATCTATACTAAATAATATGGTGCCTTTATTATGGTAACTTAAATTACATCCTTTAACAAGCCCAGGTTAGCTTCGGGGAATGGGGTTTCTGAGGCTTCGGGTGCAGAGCTTAGGGTCTATGGCTCAGAGCTTCGGAGTCTCCCCTCAAATCGGGCACAGGTTCGGGTTTGGGGTTTTGGGCTTAGGGTTTCGGGATTAGGGTGTGATGGCACATGATTGCGTTCACAGGAGACCGAAACCCGCCATCCATCGAAACTGCAGAGACGAGTCGAAGGTCGCGCAAGCTTATCTTTTGCTGCTGTTCTACGTCATGGCCTCTTTTATACCGCACCCCTTACCACATCGGCTACAAAGAAAGAGCTCATTCGGGGTGTGGAGTCCCTTGGGACGTTGCGCTTGGAAAGGTCGAGGGTTCCGGGTTCCCTGAAGGTGCCCCGCTTTAGGGCTTCAGGCTTTCGAGTCGGGGTTCAGAGGGTTTCGTCTGGTGCTCAAGACGAACATCACCGCAGAAGAGGCTGTGCTCTCAGAAAGGCCGCCCATGGAAGAAACACTTCGAACAAGCAGATAAACCATGTACACCCTGAGATCTACTGAGAACAATCCCAGACACATGCACACTGCACCCTAACAACGAGACCCCAAACCCCCGAAAACCCTGTCCTTGTTGTGACCAGCGAAGCAAGTCTGCAAAGCAACATCCCAGCAGTTCCCGTACCCCTTCGGGTCTCGATGTGCGTTTCGCCTGCAATGCTTGGCAGGGTTTAAGGGTTTCAGGGCCCGAGGCTCTAGGTAAGGGGCTCAAAAGGGGTGGGGCGCTTCTCAGGGTCACTGTTCAAGAAGACTGGCTCCACGCGGTATGACATGGTTGAAGGATCGAGGATGGACGGGCGATATAGGGAACAGGAATTCAGCGATTCGGGCAAGTTGCTCCAGGCATTAAATCGCAAAGACTCGGAATCGGGCCGGAAGATCCCTGATTCAGGCTTAACGTTAAAAGATTGGGGTAAAGGCTGCGGCAGGGTTGAAAGCTTTGGCCGGCCTCGCATCGTGTCGATGGTGTAGTTCGTTTGGTTGGTGATCCTCAGCCAAGCCATGACTCTCCCGCAACCGAAGTCCGAGAAGCCTCGTGCTTATGAAAACCAGCCTTGTGCGCACAACCTCAGCGACGTTGTGCTTCATGTCAAGGTTTCAGAAAACTGAGAGTCTTGGAGGATCCTCAGTCTATGTAAGCTTCTTAATACGCTGCATGTTCGACTGACGAGCTCAATTCAGTTGCGGGTGTTGGAGCTTTAAGTAACCCCAACCCCAAACCCTAATACCAGGGTGCGGGATTTCGCGACCAGAGGTGTTGGGCCGTGTGCAGGAAAGTCCAAGGATTTAAAGGCTTGCTCCCGACCTTCAGGGCTGGGGGGATAGAAAAATGCACATACATGAATACAATGTAGGCTATGTAATATCGCTTGGGCTCCACTTGCCCATGATGATCACCTTCCGGAAGGGGTGCGCGTACCTCCCAGGGCAGATCATGCATCCTAAACACCGAACCCCAAGCTGTCCGTCCGTGCATTCTAGATTGGGTTTAGTTTAGTTTTGGGTTTAGGGCTTAGGGTTTAGGCCTAGCCGTGGAAGCCTTCGGTCTGCAAACGGGTATGATGACTCAGCTCCAGCGTCTGTCCTGCCAGGTGGTCCTGGACTAAAACACCGAGTCGCTGACCCCTAAACCAATTACAGTCCTCTTCCTGTGCAGATCTCTTCCCTTGCAGCTTAAAAAACCCATAGAACCTTTGACTTGAACCGCCCACCCAAAGCCAATACCACTACCCCAAAACCCCGAACTCCCACACCCGCTGTCCCTCAACCATAAACCAGAAAAGCCGTAAGCTCGATCCCCGAAGGCCACCAGAAACCTCTAAAACCCGAAGAACTCCCAGAAACTCACCGAAACCCCAAAAAGGACATGCCTAGAAAGAGATCCTGAACATAAAGAGATCCTGAACATCCTTCAAACGCCTCCGGAAAATCTCATGGTGACACTTCCCTTCTAGCCCCAAGCTCCCGGGCTATATACGGGCCTCAAAGACTCCTCAAAGAAGCTGAAGTCGCGATGTTGGGAGAGAACCTAGGTCGGGTGTGGTGCAGGGTTCAGGCTTCTGCATACTTAGTGTTCATAGGAGGGTTTAGGGTTTAGTTTTTAGGGTTTAGGAGGGTTTAGGGTTTAGAGTTTAGGGTTTAGGAGGGTTTAGGGTTTAGAGTTTAGGGTTTAGGGGGGTTTCGGGCTCAGGGGGTCAGGGGGGGAAGCTTGCAGACCTGGGGAGCTTCAGATGGAGGCTGCAGGCTGGAGACTGGGGGGTGCGAAGTGTACGTCTGAGCATTTCGGACTTCGATCTTTGAGCTTGTCCTCGGTGTTTCTAGGTTTAGGGTTTAGGGGTTTGGCGTTTATGGGTTTAGGGTTTAGGAATTTCGGTTTCGGGATGGAGGCTTTGACGATTTCGGAAGACTGGACCCCTCCATCGAAGAATTCCTCAGAATTTGCCGCTGTCACGAGAAAGACTCACTGTAACTCACTGTCAAATGTCAACACGATTACTGGCAGCGAAAGCTTGACAAGTCCTCCCGCACTATGCTGAATGTCAAGATGCTGACACCCCAATCCTACAAAAAGAAAGGGGCCAGAACCCCGATACAGGCTTTAAGGCGTAGAGTATCCAAGTCTTTCTTTGTGTTTAGAGATCCAGGCGTTGGCTTTGGTGTTTGGGGGCTTGCGGTTTGGGGATTCGACTTCAGAGCGCTGCGTTGTGAGCTTTGGGCTTCGGGGGTTTAGGGTTTAGGGGTCTTGGCACCGAGTTCTGGGGTTGTTTGGGATTCGGAGTTTGCACACTGGGTTTGGCGTTTCGGGGACAGGACCCAAGGTTGCAGGGATTTGAGTTTAGGGCTTAGGGTTTCGGGGTGTGTGATAGCACTTATAGAACCTGAGTGAAGAAGATACTTGATGGGATGGAAGAACCCCTAAATCCAAAGGTTCAAAACAGACAGAGGATCAAGCTGGGCCACTCCCAGCGTGACTTCTTGGTCGTCGATCTCCTCGAAAATGTTCTCTGAGGAGCCATGGCGGATGAATTCCACACCTTCAAAACCTCAAGGTGCGTCCAGGGTCGACAAGAGCGCAGTGGACAAAGCAATCCTCAACATAATTGCTATCGCCAGTTTCGTGCGTACAAAAATCAACATCATGAAAGACAACGTCGCGCTTTATGTCTCGATGTTTCATGTCAGGGTTCGTGCGATGGCGGGGGTGGTAAGACAACCCGATGTCCCAAACCGTTTGAAGGACATAAGGGGCAAGCCTGGGAGTTTGACGATTAAGCTGGGGTTTGCAGATTGAGTGCCTTGCCAGTGAACAGAATCCTCGCCTGCACAGGCCGTTAGAAGCCCCCAAACCTCCCATGTTTTGCAGGGCAAGCAGCTCGAGTTCATAAGCCTCGGCGCACATCGAAATTAGAAACGAAACCCGAAAGCCTTTCTGTTCGGGTATAGCTGTCTGGGATCGCTTATGGGGCTCGCGCAGTCTGAATGGCTCTTGGCTGTCTTTATGTGGACCTCGTCTCGTTTTAAATGTCACTGCAAAGCTCTGTACTTTGAGAAAAGGCTTGTACTGGGTCGTTTGCACTGAACCTAATGAACCTAAACCCGAAACCCTGAACCCTAAACTCGTTTTGCATTGACAGCTCCATGTTTACAGCGGAGAGCTCTGCAGGTCTGATTGCCGTTTCAATGCCCCGAAGTGAAGTTGAGGGCTTGGGGATTAGGGTTTAACGGTTTACTGCTTGCGGTTTAGGGGTGCGGGCGTTGGGGGTCAGGGCTTGGGTTGAGAATACAACATGAACATTAGGCTCCAGGTCTTACAGCTTTCGGTTTAGTACTTAGGCTTAGGCGTGAACACAGAGCGCACTGCGCAACCGGAAAGCTTGGCGACTGGAGCCGTAGGCTTCGGTATGAGAGGGGGGGGGGGGGTAGTTAGGGTTTGGGCCTCAATCTGGGGGCTGCGCAGCCTAGGGCGTAAGGTTTAGTGGCGACTCAACCCTGCATGGGATGTGGGTAGTTCTCTAAATGAGGGTCCCTTTTTAGGTCTCAAATTTAGTACGGCACCCTTATAAAAAGGATCCCCAAAAGGGCCCTAATTTAGGAAACTACCCATGTGGGGATAGGGTTTGTAAACTAAGGCTTGGAGCCACTGTGGTCCTTAGCCCGCCTGATCACGAAAGCCTTGAACCGAGGCAGCCGCTAAACCCTGATGCAAAAGCCCTCTCTGATTTGGGGCTTAGGGTGTATCGATCATGAACACCAGACTTTTTCTTTGCACAATGGGCAAGAGCTATTCCGGCACATCGGATATGCGACAGACAAGTCCTAGAGCCTAACGCCTATTTCAGCCCGAACACCGCAGAACATCACGAAAGCCGAACCACAGCAGAGGGTTGCAGGGCTTGGTGGGTAAAAAGGCTACGGGGTTCTGCCTCAAGTTCCTTGTCATTAGATTTACAGTACACTTAAAGTCACAACCACGATGAATCCTGATTGGCGTAGGCCTTAAAGCCACAATCCTGAGTCGAACCAGCCAAACTTAAGTTAGGCGGGGCAGCGTATTCGCATAATTTCCGATCAGAAGTGAATCACCTCTGTACGGCGAGTCCTGCGGCATGCGGCTCTCTGGCTTGATCTGTTCATAGCTGGGTGTGGGGAAGACTATAATTTAAGATAGCGCAAGTATATATGGACTACATGAGGGCTTATACTAGTTCTTCCGACCTCTATCATGCCGTCAAACCTAAGCATTCAGCTCCAAGTCAACAGCACCATCCAAGCCGAATACGGCTGCAACGGGCTTGCGGGATTTAGGGCAACGAAATTTCGGGTTTAGGGTTGAGGAGGCTCCAGAAACAACCTTCCCACTACCTACTATCGGGGCATTAATAACTAGAATAGGGTTTTGGGGAACATTACGGTGTAATGACAACAGAAAATTCTGGGAATCATAGTGGTACTTATTCTGGGACAGACCCTAAACCCTAAACCCTGAACCCTGCAAACCCTAGACCCCCCTAAACCCCTTAACCTTAAACCCTAAACCCTAAAATCCCCGAA